ACTACTGGTAGTGATTATAGGTAACCAACAAAACTTAGCAGTGTAAGCACAAAACATTTTGAGCCTCATTGTTTTAGATGGACTAAATATGTTTAACTTATGTAATTTATAATATAATTAAGATAATTTTTTTTAATTTTATAATTTCTTGTTGTATCTTGTTGTTTCTCCATAAGTGATATAAGTTTGACCTTGTTGGCAGTTATGATTTGACATTGTTCTGTATGTATTAAAAATTGACTAGCATTGCTTATTTTATTTTGTATTATTATGACTTGTAATAATTGGGTTGCATGACAATAACAAAATATTTACTTATACTTAATTTAATAAAGATGTTTTTGACGAGAGATAAGTATTACCTATCTAAGTATAGTTTAGGAGTTGTACCTTATTATTTATACCATTAAAAAATTTATGATATATAAGGCATATAATATAATATATATATACTCCCTTCTAATCCAATTCTAACAACCAGCACCCAAGAATTTCTGCCATGCAAAAGTATAAATCAAGTTTACAAATGCATATTTTTGAGAAATTCTAAAGCTACTCAAACCAAGAACTACAACGAATGCTCTAGAAGGAAGACAAAAATTTTGTTAAATTTGTTGTTTATTAATGTGATGAAAAATTAATAAATAATCGTTTATTTTAATTTTATTGTATTATATTTAATATATAATTGTGTTTTCATTTGTTTTACTTAATGTAACATTGTTAATATTTCTAAATGTTGTGTAAGTACACAAAATTTAGTTCTTTTTCCTTTTTAAATTTCAATATATTTTCATTTAAATAGAATATATATCTTTACAGTCTATCAAAAGCCCACTGTTGAACATAAACATGATTATAGTTATTTGGCATAGTTGCAACGCTTGGAAAGCGGGTTGTCAACCACTGTGTGTTTTTTATTTATTTAGCTGTTATCAGGACAATGCTGCTGTTTATCTTCTTTGATGTTTCCCTATGTCGCCTCATACACCACCCATGGAATGATATGAGGTAGCAGATAATCTTACACTGCATGGTAAATTAAAATAGAATAATACAAAACATTCGTTTTTATTTTATATACCAACATATTACAAAAACAAACCCTTTGTTGATGCTTTACAAGGTATATTAACTAAAACATTTTACCACCTTAACAATTAGGTAACATGATTAAGCCACCTAACCATCTAAAAAGGCCTTCCATAGATATCCTCATAGGATGACTTTTGCCATAGTTGCCACGCCTGCGTGAAAATATGCGTTATGCTTGTTGGCCGACGCAGCTTTTTATTGTTTTAAGTTTTCATCGGGAAAGTGCTGCTGCCCCATTCTCATCTTGTATTATTGCTTACGACGCGAGGTAATATCATCCCGTGTACAGAAAAATTCTCTTGTACGCCACAACTTGCCGCACACAAGACACTAACTTAGCAAAACATGCAGGAAATCGCGGGAGTAGGCTCATAACCATGTTTTGTACTACAAAACCTAAGTGGAAACCCTTTCCTTTCGAAGGTCTGTGTTCAGCACTGAACTTGTGATGGAATGGTATGTTAAAATATTAATGATTTTTTTTGTAAAAACAACAAAACTCGACACAAGCAAATTTTTGTTTATTATTTAATATTTTTATTCTCAATTAATATTTAAGTACATACATAACGTATTTTTATTTATTAGCTATATCACACTTTGTGCTAGTAGCGTCTTCACTTAGTGCCGTCGAAATCCAAAGAGTTTATTGAATATCTAGTAAAATCGTCGATGCGCCGTTGAATACAGAATGATGATTCTGTTTTTACGCCGTTTCCGTCCGTAGTTTGTAGTCACAGAATGTATTTTCAAGAGAAATTAATTAATCATCTGAATTATAAAAGAACATTTTTTTATGGTCACAATTAAGTTTTTTGTATGAATGTAAGTGCTGTGAATATAAATAAACCCATAACGGGGGAAATGGAACAATATCTGGTAACCCAGTGAAAGTACCTCCCGCCTATTTCTATCTCAAAAGCATACGCGAATGCTTTATCTAGTCAATCCTCTATCTACGTACATATCCAATCGTAAATAGAGGATTGACTATCCAATACATATGTTTTGGCTTTTTTTTAATAACTAGCTTTACGGCTCTGGGTTCTAGCCTTTCAGAGCCTGAAGTTACAATGTATAATTATTATCCTTCATAGTATAGTGCTTCACAATATGTTGATGCGTCACATTGTGCAGCCCTTGCGAGATTTTGACGGCAACTTGAGCCAGCAGACAGCTGAAAGTTGGCGATGGTATCTTAAAGCACCTAAGCAGACAGACACCATATCTTGAGAATCACATCACCATCAGAGCACTTGTTTCACCGTTTCCATTAATAGTTCACATGCGCAGACATTTAATACATAAAATCACACCACTTTTACATATTAAAATCCACTTCAAACCATCGATATTTTTACTAATGAGTTTGTTCTTATTTAATATAATTATAGAAATTAAATCCATAGCCTAATTGCATAACACACCTAAATTAAAAAACCTCCATTCAAACATTCCGTGATGACGTCATGCATCTATTTTAGATTGTAGCTGTCGAGATTTTGTATTAGCAGGCAGGTTGAGCATGGTGTTGATGAAAGATGTGAACTGAAAGGCGTCGTTTCCCAAAGTGTTGCTTTAGTACATAATATATGCTAGTATGACTTAGTTGTCTGCACTGATACTGAGATGCTATACTATGCGCTCAGCCTCACCCCTCAGCTTGGACTTGAGATGTTGCATCTGTTGCGCCTTATTTATCATTGGACTCTTGTGAATAGCTTCCATGAAGAGGTCTGTAAATGAAACCCATTTAGTGTAGTTGCCAGAAAATTCAGGAATTTCCATTTTTTCCGCAGATGTTTCGTCATGAATAGTTGACCAGATTCTCGAATATAATTCTTCCATCTCGACAAATATGTTGTAGTACTTGACGTTAGAGCCTTTGTACTTAGCTTCTAATTTCCAATGTAGTTTGTTTATTTAGTTATTAGTATGGAAAGATGATTTTGAAGCTCCCACTTCTCGGTGATAGTTTATAGGTCAATTTTTGACATAGCACGGTCGAGAGCTTTAAAGTTGCACATTTGTATCTCCAGTAGCAAATTTGAAGATGAAGTTTCGTCGGAGCTATCCCCCACCATATTAGTTAAGTCGAATTCCACAGGTTTTGGTTCACGTAGTTTATGTAATAGGTGTTCCATGCTTTTCTTAGTAGTTTCGAAAAGTTGCTTAGTAATTTCGATCATATTTTCGGTGAAGTAGTTGATGTTTTTATCTTCATAAGTTTGTTGTAGTTGTTTGTGTCGTTCACTGAAGTCGTTCCAGTGCGCCTCGAGAGACTTCAGTTGTTTCAATAAGTATACTTGATTTTTTCTGTCTTGACTTTCTTTCTTGTAGTTAGAGCAGAGAGTTTTGATGCTGTTAAAACACTGTTGTTGAAGTTGTAGCATTATGTTGTAGTTGAAGTAGTTAGTCGATTGTAGTAAAAAGTTAGAAGAAGAGAATGCGAAGTTCGTAGCTCGATGTTCTGGCACGTAGTTGACGGTGGCAGCAGTGAAGTAACGTGCCTTAGAGGGGCCTTGTATCAAAATTTGTCGGGGAGCCCAAATGAAAGGCAAAGATTTTTAACAAAAGGAACTAAAACTCTCGCATTGAATTAAAATAATTATATATTGATTATAAGTTATTACTTCCAATTAATACTCCTAGTAACTAAGCTAGCCAAATAATTCAAACCAACATCCTGTCCCATAGAAGTCCTTAGAATTTTTGCTTACATACGTTCGGGGCCTCTGTAGCCCGGGGCCCCGTATCATTGATACGGCGGTAGCTACGCCCCTGGGTGGCAGATGTAAAGCTTGGTGTGCGCACTCTCAATTTTTCCAGTGATTCCCACTTCCGGGAGGCCATTTAACCGATTCACTACCGCAGATTTTAAGTTAAATATATTAAAATTATTACTAATTAAACATGCGACTTGCCCGTACAACAACACAATGTGGTGCATCAACATATTATGAAGCAGTGAACTATAAATGATTATTATCTTTTGATACTCAAATACTATAAAAACGAAGATCGTAAAAGAATGTCTGAAAAGGAAGAATTGGGTCAAAAGATGCATATCCAAGCCAAAAATCTTAATAACAAAAAAATAAGTCCTGTCCTCTGGGTTATTTTAGTTGATAATTTTTTTTCCCCTTCACACTCTGGGATAACAGGGAACGAGGAAGCAGACATTGCTACTAGAGACATATTCTCATCAACATGTTCAGACCACTCGACAATGCTGGAAATACCATTTACAGATATATTGTTAAGCAAGAACTTGAAATCCTTATGGAAGGCATACTGGGAAGAATTAAGCAAGTCCAAAGGAATTTGGTATTATGAAATACAAAAAAGCCCGCCAGCCACTCCTTGGTACAACAAAAAAGGGATTAATAATAGAAAATTCATTACGACTGTAAACCGAATGATATTTGGACATAGCAGAGTAGCCGCCCACTTGCATCGTTTGGGAATGAAAGAAAATGCAAATTGTGAATATTGTGGAGATACGAAAGGAGACCTAAAACATCTGGTTTTTCAATGCAGTCAATTTGGTTTCAAAAAATTACTCCTCATTAATTCCATTCAAGATATTAACAATGATAAAGTTCCTGATACTCTTCAAAGTTTATTAGCTGATGAAAAATTCTTCCGACCATTATATTCCTTTATATCTGGTGTCCAAGATATATAAAAATGAGAACAACGTGATATTAATCAATAGTGCAAACGTAAACAAACTGTGAATCAATGTGAAAGTGAATTTTTGATGAATGTATCGTAAAGTTAATACATTGTAACTTCAGGCTCAGAAGGGCTAGAACCCAGAGCCGTAAAGCCAGTTTAAAATAAAAAATTTTCGTTTTCCATACTCCGTAGGAGTAATAGTGTTCTGTGTTTCCATACGTGATACGTCTAGGTTCCTGTATAGGACAAGGACAGTTACTAATTACTATACTTTTTGGTCTAGGTGTTGATTATCGTGCATGCTTTTTTATTTACCTATTTTTTCTTTTAATTTTCTAATATAAACGTTTAATATTTTAGTTCCCAATAAATTAATTTGAGTAAAATAAAAACACATGGGTTTAACGGACCGTCAAATACCGAGCGATAAGCTCCCACAATGCTGGTCGGACGATGTTCGAATGAATGCATTGTTTGCGCCGTTTAGAATAAAATCAGCGAACCCGGAATCTTGGGACATGAAGATGAAGTTCTGGTCGGATCTGGTGCGACAGTGGTGCCGTTATAAAACCGATCCTATGGTTTCAGCTGCTGATGTAAAAAGTGCTTTCCAAAGGAAGGGCCGCACCGCGGCTTGTATTGAAATTGTCATCGAGGAGATGTATAGGTGCGTAGAAATAATTCGTAATATAGATAGGTAAAAACAGTACAGACTACAGTTGTGTCCAATTATAGCAGTTTTAGCCCACAACTTTGGGCCTGCTTATAGTGTTTAATGTTTTGGATTAATGCCAAAATGTTTGATTGTATACTACAAAGTAAACTGTACAGTCCAATTTGGCTTAGCTTTCCATTGACGTCAGTGGAGTTTGGTGTTGATACATATTTTTACAGAAAGATTACACTATTATAAGCACACACACAAAGTCTCAATATACGGAAACGCGTAATTTTTGAGAAAAGAATAATTGAAAATCAATTATTCTTACAATGTTTATGTCTAATCTGCTAATAAACTGGCGCCATTTTGTAATGTCATTGTCGACGTCAATAGGGATGTCGATTCTTTCCGAAAAAGGTTGATTTTTAAATCGATTCAAATCGTAAGCTGATGTATCGGTTCACAAAAAATCTTACTTACTTATCTTCACGCACAATCCCTGACGGGGTAGCCAGAGAGAACAGATCGCCAAGTGTCACGATCCTTACAAACCTCTTTCGCTTCTTTCAGATTCATTATCTTCTTCATGCATGCACGCCTAGGTATCCAAGTACTTTTGACCCTACCCTCTTCGAGCAATTTGCTCACATGGTCTTCGAAAGTTAGTCTCGGTCTACCTCGACACCTTTTAATATTAACTTTCGCGCTATATATTTTCTTCACTCATTCGCTCAACGTGCCCAAACCACCGAAGCACGCCCTTATCAATTTTTGTGATTAGGTCCTCTTTCATACCTGCCATATTGCGAATCTCTTCGTTTCGCTTTCGGTCGGCCATGGTAACGCCGCACATTTTACGAAGAGATCGCATCTCCACTGCATTCAACTTACTTTTATGCTTCTTCTGGCATACCCAGGCTTCGCTGCCATATAACAAAGTCGGTACCAACACTGCGTTATGTATTGCAAGGCGTGCACTCTTCACTACGCCTTGCCTTTTGACTAACGCAGTCAGGGCACCATTGACTTTGTTCCCGGCAGCGACACGCCTGTCCACATCTAAATCACATCTTCCATCCCGGCTAAAAGCACTCCCCAAGTATACAATTTCATTTACCTGTTCTAGACATTCCTGATTTACCCATATTTCACACTTTGTTCTCTCTTCGTCCCTTTTAAATACCAGAACCTTAGTTTTATTAGCATTCAAACAGAGACCTTTAATTTCACATTCCTCTTTCATACATGTGACTAATGCCTGCAGTTCTGCCTCTGATGGTGCAATAAGCACTGCATCATCAGCATACAGCAGACAATTTACTTTAATGTCACCCAATTTCACACCCAAACAACTATCTTTCAGCTTCTGTAAACAGCTGTCGAGATACAGTATGAACAGCCAGGAAGACATGACACAACCCTGCTTTACGCCCGTTTGGACGTTAAACATGGGTGACAGGTCATGCCCTACCCGCACACAGGCTTTACAGTCACAGTAAAGAGACTGCACAGCCCTTAGCAATCGACCATCCACACCATACCCCGGCAACAGTTCCCACATTTTCTTCCTTACAACCTTATCAAATGCTTTCTCAAGATCCACAAAAGCACAGAAAATCTTCTGGTTAGCAGCCAGAAGCTTCTCCGTGATCATGCGGAGAGAAAACATTTGATCCGTGCATCCTCTTCCAGGTCTAAATCCGCATTGTGCCTCCCATAGAAATCTTTCCGATTTCTCTTGCATCCTACGTGTCAAAACCTTCGAGTAAACTTTACTTGCTAAACTGGTCAAGCTGATCGCCCGATAGCACCCGCAGTCAAAATGTGAACGTTTACCTTTATATAAAGGCACAATGACTGCGGATCGCCAATCATCCGGGACATCCCCCGTCCGCCTGCACAAATTGCACAGCAGATGAAAGCTGTCCCAGACGCGAGGCCCACCATACTTGACCATTTCAGCAGTAACTCTGTCTAGTCCCGCAGCCTTACCACATTTAAAAAAATCGATTTCTAAAATATCTATATTTTTTTAATGTTTCTATGTATAATGTAAATATAAACCCATTTTATGAAAAACAAGAAAGATACCATGATAAATGATCTCTTATTGAAATTTGTTTTATTTAACAGTACCTATTAGGGCAGATAACAAATAAAATAGGTTAGGTTCAACTTATGTCAAAGAACCGAATTGATTGACCCCGACTCCACCTGGTACGAGTCTGTCCTACCCCTAGAGTGGTTTTATAGAGCCGGAGGCGCGTAGGGGGAGCAGCCTCCGCCTGCTGTAACAAATCATAGGCATCGGACGAGCCGGGTGCGATTTGTTACGCTAAGGCGTAGAGGTTGCTCTTCCTGCAGCGCCGGAGACGTAGCAGTCTCAAAATAGATACAGAAATCCTTATGAATCAGTCCCCTTATTTTTTATGATGAAGGGGATTTTTTTCTTATAAAATGGATTTATATTTACATTATAAATGCAAACATGAAAAAAATATCGATATTTTAGAAATCGATTTTTTGGGATTCGATACATCAGCTTACAATTCGAATCTATTTAAAAAATCGATCTTTTTCGGAAAGAATCGACATCTATTGACGTCGACAATGACATTACAAAATGGCGTCAGTTTATTAGCAGATTAGACATAAACATTGCAAGAATAATTGATTTTCAATTATTCTTTTCGAAAAAATTACGCGTTTCCGTATATTGAGACTTTGTGTGTGTGCTTATAATAGTGTAATCTTTCTGTAAAAATACGTATCAACACCAAACTTCACTGACGTCAATGGAAAGTCGTACCTCCAATTTTACCATTAGAAGTTGAAAATTAGTAAATTATTACTTAGACAATGTACAAATCCATTACAATAAAAATGGGATTGGGAAAAAAATGGGATCAAACGTTGATTCACTTTCCTCAGTTTAGTTAGTGTTGCAAGCGAGAAAATTTCATTGCTAACATAATGCCACTGCCACAAAAATTCTATTAATATTTATTTGCAGATCATTCAATTATAATGCTTAGGAAGTAACTTGAAACCCATGGTGAATGTGCTTCCACTCCCATTTCCCCATGCTCCTTAACGCTCATGTCTTCGTCACCTTGATATGGACTCTTAGTATGCTCTGAATTTCAAGCAAGATCTCAAGTTAATTTATGTGCTTACTTTATATAGCATGAATGATATAGGATCATAGATACAGCTATATAGGATCACTTTGCAATTTATGCCCAAATTTGCAGAGACGGTTCAGAATAAGTAATATAGGCAAATAGTGAAGAAAATTAAATTAAAAGAAATCTCAAACATTCTGTCCTTTTTATCTTCTAAATTCAGAATGCGTGGCAATGCATTATTTTAACTGATTGTCATTCCTAAATATCTAATGCCTACTATTATACTACGCAAGCACACATTTCTAACGCTCAGTCGGCAAAAATATTGTGACAATTGAACTCAGAGCAGTGCAATTACGTGTAGTTTTTGCCTATAAATCACATTCAATTTGCTATAATTCCAAATAAAAGTAGAAGCCTTATTTACTTGTATTTTCAAAAACTGCAATAATCATATGTATATTTATATATTTGAACATAAATATAAAATTTCGATAGTCTTTGAAAAATTGCCTTGTATATATTAATAATATACACAGGGAATTAATAAATTAATAATATTTTTAAATTATTTAACTAAGCATTGCTTTGAATAAAGAGCCACATTTGTTATTATAAAGTATCAATATCAACATTAGCTATGTCATGTTTTTTAATCTTGAAGCCATAGTGTAATAATAATAAAACATATGTGCTTATTGTCTTTTCCGTGTATAGCCACTGGTCGGTTAAATACACTATGCCTGTCTTTTTCTATTGTCATTTAGTGAAAACAGAGATAGCAACTTTAAGGCCGGTCATATACATACGGAATTCCATTTCGAGATTCCGTTTCGGAATTCCGAATGGGTCGGCCACACACATACGGGTACCCGTTTTGCCCCAAAATTTCGAACGGAAAACTACCGTATGTGTGTGACGGGTCATAGATTTTATATGAACTTGCTGCGTTCGGAATCTCGAATCGGAATATCGAAACGGAATTCCGTATGTATGTGGCCGGCCTAAGTGTTACTGAAATAGACATTGATTTTTATTAGAAACAACCTTTTATTATAGTGTAATAAAATTTTCTTAAAATGTCTACTTTTTAACTTATTATCCCACCTACCGGTAAGTTGTGATCAAATCCTAGATAGTAAACTGCACTGCCTTAGTTAAACAAAAGCCTATTCTCTCTTTTCTTAAAGACCTCCATATTGTAATTGGATAGAAATATAAACACCAAGAAATTTACTCCACTCCTTTGCAGTAACAAAGCAAATTGTTTGTATCAAATGCATGGTATATCAATAAAATAGGGATGAATGCCAGTCAACCATATAGTAGAACCATGGTGGAAAGGTTACGGAGTAATTAAGACATGTAATATCTGATAAACTTCTCTCAAGCTAGTAGAAATCTCCTATCTAGGCACTGGAAGTAACCCATATCAGTTTATAGTTAATTAATTATTTTCACACTGTGTACTTACTTATTACTAACTGGTACCCGGTGCATTGCTGCTGCAGAAAAAATATTGGTGGAAATATTGTTTTAAATTAGGAAGGGTTATATTGTTTAATCAGGAATGATAGTAGGAATGCCTTGAAATTAAATGATATATAAATTTCCAATAAGTTTGTTGGGAAGATATGCCCGCTACCTACTATAACCTTCGTGCAAGTGTAAGCAAAAAGTTGTAAAAATTTTAGCACAGTCTGACGAATCGTAGGGCAGCACATAATGGGCACGCCACTATAGCGGCGATAAGACCCCTCTTTGAGGAGTGGCTTGAGAGACGCCACGGCGTCCTCACCTTCCGCCTGACGCAGGTCCTCACCGGACACGGTGTGTTCGGGAGGTTCCTGCACCGAATCGGGCGGGAGGAAACGCCCGGGTGCTCCCACTGCGAGGATCGACCGGAGGACACGGTGGAGCACACCGTGGAGGTGTGCCCTGCCTGGGCGGAGCACCGCCGTGTCCTCGTAGCGGCGATAGGCGGCGGCGACCTCTCGCGTCCGGCCCTGGTCGAAGCCATGGTCCGGAACGAGACGGAATGGGATGCCGTCACCCCCTTCTGCGAAGCAGTGATGCTAGCGAAGGAGGTGGCGGAGCGGGAGAAGGAGAGAGCAGCAGCTTTCCTTCCCGGCCGCCGCGGGAGACGCCCCGGGCGTCGGGGGCTACGTCGTGGCCCCCGGCCACCGTAGGCGCGGGCCGTCCGTCCGTCTAACGACGACAGGCCGGAAAGTCTGACACTCCCTTCCGCTCCACCCAGAGCGAAAGGCGTCATTTGATGATTTTCCATCCGCAAAAAAAAAAAAAAAAAAAAAGGGCAGCACATAAAATATGAACAAATTAAAATTAATTTTTATATATTAGATCATTTTTGAAGGATTAAAATACTTCAAAAATCATTTTTGTAGTCAATTTTTTATATTTTTTGCACACCATAATTGATCAAGTAAGTTAAACATCTATAACATTACAAAATTGCTGTTCTCAATGTTAATTTAAATGATCTATGTAATTCTCAATTAGCAGACTTTATGAATATCACCCAGTAACTTATCTCTTTTTTAATCAATAATTTTGCTAACATTTAACTTTAGAACCTTGACATTAAGTTCTAAATGCATTTTATATTCATTCATCACATATATATCAATAGAATTGAAACAAATCACTTTTCAATGCCTAAATTATAGAATATTTAGGCATTGAAACACATGTTTTAGACTAGACTAATTTGCAATGTTAGAGTAGATCTTAACACTTTCACTGTCCAGTTTTCAGACACAATAGTAAGACAATAGCAATGATCTATATGTATTGCACGGGACTGCCAAAGGGTTGACATATATATATTTTTTATCTGACTACTCTTGCCATCCTCATGTCATCAATCCATGTATTTATTCAATTTATATACATACATAAACTCTCATGTCTCAACTAGAGAGGAAGGCAGAGATTACAGGCTTCCATTTGACATGAACCTGACACACCTCTCACTTCTTTTACATCCATGTATCTATACATACATTCTCAAATATCACTTCAGTATCTTGTTTTGTTGTTCAATTATGTAGGAAATTACTTTATTATAACTACATCTACCTACTTCCTCTGCAGAGGTCTACATGTGACGACCTGGTGACCTAAGGTACAGGTTTTACCTAGTTTAGGCAACAGTTTTCCACCAAATAATAGTTTTGTCAGATGGTATGATGAGTTATATTCATTTTTGCTCACTCTATAATGTGTCAACAGTTAAAGTATTTAGGTACCTTTAATACAAGGTGTAAATGCTTAAATCCTCTTTTTGTTACTTACAGGGGTGGAAATTTATCACCTATCTCAAAATATGTACAAATTTTACACAATGGTCCCGAGAGCTTGTTACATTGGAGTGCGAGAATGGCATTCAGGCCTGCCGTTTTTGCTGTATCTACAGTCCTGTCACTTCTGCCTGTGAGACAGCAACTTGATAATGATGGATTACCCAAAGCGAGCATTGAATCTACACAGAGATTTGTTCTGGAGAGTGTTGTAAAGGTAATTAGTATTCCATTCATGGAGCCTAATTTTAAGCAAACAAGTAAAATATAAAAATGGTTATTTTAAATAATGATTTCTTATATTTAGGCGAACACTGCACATTGAATAAAACTACTTTTACGGATTCTATCGCCGGGTTAAGTCTGACATCGGGACGTCAATCACCTCAGTCCCCCATGACCATGGGTGCTGTAAAGCACCCGAAACGTCGGGAATTAATAAAAATAAGTTAATTAAACGCGATAGAATCCGTAAAAGTAGTTTTGTTCAATGTGGTTATTTTAAAGTTAATAGGTGGTAGAACTTCCTGCATAGGAATCTGTCTTTGTGGGTACCACCGTATTATTTGTGCATCCAATGCGTGCACTGCTGGGTCCTGGTCTGAAGGGAACCAGTATAATTAGAGGTTCCGAGGCCTTCCATCTTAACCTTCAGAGGTGAGAACACAACTATAGCCTTCTTTGTTAAAGTTGGTGGCAGGCTTTTTTTAAAAGTTACTCTGAAAGTAATAAATTACTTAAAAGGAGTGTTATTTATGTCTATGTTGAATAAATCATATTGTATTAACAAATTAAGCCTCCAATTATGAGGGCACAACTCTAGTAATAGATTTTATAACCAGGGATGGAAAAAATCATGATTTTTTTTTTAATTTTAATCAAATCATGCTGATTTTTTTAAAAAAATCATGATTTTTATGATTTTTTTGTATATTTGGAAATTACGAGTTGGTAACACTTTTTGACATAGTAGGATTAAAAGTTTATGAATACACCAGCTGTTCCTCGCGACTTCGCCCGCGTGTTATTTGGGGTTTTAGTTTTTTACGCGGAACCCTAATATTTTTTCTAAAATAAAATAGCCTAAGTTACTCCTTATGACATCAGCTATCTGCCAGTGAATGTCCCGTCAAAATTGGTTCAGCCGTTTCAGTGATTAGCCGGAACAAACAGACAGACAAAAATTTTAAAAATTGTGTTTTGGTTATACATATTGTATATACTTTCATATGCATTTAGTAAAAATTAAATTAAAAAAGATTGATTAAGAGTAAAATAATTCATACTGTATTAATTACAGTTCATATATTAAGGGTGAATTTCTAAAAAAAATTGATTTTACTAAGTTTATGAGACTGACAGACCTCATCGCTACGTCTTTGTTGATTTTCCAAAGTTTATGAGACTATTGTAGTAGAATAATAAGAATAACATAAAACAACAAAATATTTTACCTTATTTTAAGCCAGTTTTATTTCATTTTCTACCTATTACATTAATTTATACATGTTGATTTAAATCAATGATTTTTTAAATCAGCCAACCCTGTTTATAACTACCATACCATACTTCCTTGATTTTTAAACTTAAACGTCAATCATTTAAATGTGACGAAGTGAATAATGCTATATCAAAATTAGTGCATTGGTTTAACGTTAATAATCTGCATTTGAACGGAAATAAAACTAATTGTGTTAAATTTACAACAACGAATGTTCAAAATCTGAATACCAATGTGTTTTTAAATGGGGAGGAATTGAGCCCTGTTGTATCCACTGTTTTTCTTGGCATCACTCTTGACGCAAAGCTCCAGTGGGGCCCCCATATATCCAAATTAGCAAGCAGACTAAGTTCTGCAGCCTATGCTGTAAAAAAGATTAGAGGTCTCACTAGTGTCGAGACAGCTAGATTAGTTTATTTTAGTTATTTTCATAGCATAATGTCTTATGGGATTTTGCTATGGGGAAATGCGGCTGATTCAGAAACTATTTTTGTTTTGCAGAAGAGGGCCATTAGAGCTATTTACAATCTAAAACCGAGAGAGTCCCTTAGAGATAAATTTAAAGAAATTAATATATTAACTTTGGCCTCTCAGTATATTTACGAAAATTTAATGTATGTTCACAAAAACAAAGATAGTTTTAGTAAAAGAAGTGATATACATTCTGTAAACACTAGGAACAAACACAAGCTAATGATACCAGTTTCTCGACTCCACAGAGTCAGTAATTCATTCTTGTGGCAAAGTATACGCTATTACAACAAGGTCCCGGAAAGTGTACAGGTTCTCTCTATTACCAAGTTCAAATGTTTTATTAAGCTGAAACTGTATAAAAAGGGTTATTATAGTATAAATGAATACATGGTTGATAATAACCCCTGGGAATGAGGTGATCGCTTCCAAGCAGTTTCTAAAATAAATTTTGTAAATAGTTCGTAATGATTTATATTGTAAAATTTATTTTTAAAAAAAAAGTCCCGCTGGGTTTCTTGCTGGTTCTTCCCAGGACAGAGGGTTTTTTTCGAACCAGTGGTAAAGTAAAAAATGACTTTCAATAAGAATTACACATGTAATGTATATTGAATAAAAAATATTCTATTCTATTCTATTCTATTCATAACAACACCTATACATGAAGGTATTATAAAATATCATTTATGTGATTGGTAACTGATAGTGATTATGTTATTAACACCAAACAAAGACACCTGCAGCTAAAGTGGATTGCCTCATAGGTTGAAAGTACATGCATAGGCTCATATCCTTTAAAGACTAAGAAATAGAATAGATTTTTTTTTATTCAATATAGATTATAAATAATACATATTGTAAGTCACTCTTTTGTTTAATTACCACTGGTTCGAAAAAAAAACAGCCTCTGTCCTGGGAGGAACCAGCAAGAAACCCAGTGGCACTTTTAAAAAAAAATAATAGCTTACAATCATGTATGTTACACAATTAACAATACAAAACAAATTAGAAATAGCTTGGTAGCGATCACTTCATTCCCAGGGGTGATTATCATCCGTAAATTCCTTAATATTATAATAACCCTTTGTATACAAACTTAGTTTTTGAACTTTGAGCAGGTCAAATTTTGTATATTAGTAGTTAGTATATAAGATGTAATACCTCACCGCCTCTAATTATTCTGACTCTCTATACTGTCTCTCTGGAACACAGCGTTGCAGGCACAGCTATTTGGCGGCAGAAATAGGTAAGAGGATGGTACCTACCCTGCTTGACTCCTTGGCAAAAATAAAAAATCTTACCACCTTGTAAATTTATAGATCATTTGTACAGAAATTACTAATAATACATGGTAGAGCCACACTGCAGCTATATTATGGTTGTTGTACACATGGGTTGGTTAGAAGATAAAACAAAATACCAGTGTGAAATAGCATTTCATTGCTGCTGTGTTTCATAGAGAACCGGAGACCCTTTTTACTGACATGACATGAGGCATTCCATTTAGACCTCAGGGATGACTATATATCTGCATTTTGTTTCTCAATCGAGGAGAGATGTAGATGTGTGCTCGTTTGTCATGCTTATTCTATATGAAAAAAATTACTCTTAATGTCGTAAATAAAAATTTAAACTTTTAACACTAACACAATACTGTATGTGGAGCCAAGCTGCAGCTATATTTATAGTATAGTTGTAGCACAAAGCACGACTGGGGAAGGACCACAATCTTTTTTTTTATAGGAGAGGGGGCAAACGAGCATGCGGCTCACCTGATGGTAAGTGACTACCGCCGTCCATGAACAACCGCAACAGCAAGAGGGGTATTGCAGATGCGTTGCCAGCTTTTTAAAAAGGAGTATGCTCTTTTCTTGAAGGTCCCTAAGTCGTATCGGTCCGGAAAAATTGCTGGTGGTAAACTATTCCACAAGGAAGTTGTGCGAGGAAGAAAACTAAATCGCACAGTGGTGGACCGCCAATCATCCAGATGGTGTGGATGGTATCGGGAGTTCTGCCGCGATATGCGTTCGTGAAATTTGGCGGCTGGGATTAATCCGAACAATTCCTCAGAGCACTCCCCATGGTAAATGCGAAAGAAAATGCAAAGAGATGCAATATCTCTTCGCAGCGCCAATGAATCGAGCCGACCGGAAAGGGCTCGGTCGTCGACGATTCGAGCCGCTCTGCGCTGGATGCGGTCAAGTGGAAGGAGCTGGCACTGGGGAGCCCCTGCCCAGAGATGGGAACAGTATTCCATGTGAGGCCGAACCTGCGCCTTGTAAAGTTGCAGGCGTTGTGCTGGCATGAAATACTATCCCGCTCTGCTAAGCACGCCAAGCTTTTTAGAGACCAATTTGGCCTTCTCTTCCAAGTGACCACGAAACTGGACGTCACTCGATATGTCTACGCCGAGAAACGACAGAGGACATACTGGCTGAGGCAACAAGGGGAGTGCCTTGAAACTGAGCAGATACGACAAAGGGGTTCTTTTTAGCGGTAAACGCGCAAACTTGTGTCTTCGGAGGATTAAACTGGACTAGATTTAGTCGGCCCCAATCCGAGACTTTGTTCAGCAAAGACTCGACTTCAGACACAAGTTTGTTCCGGTACTCGGCGACGTTTTCCCGAGAAATATTGGCACGGCCGGTGAATAGAGCATCACCAGTGCTGTCATCCGCATAGCAATGAATGCTACCGGTTTGCAACATATTATTGATATGCAGAAGAAACAGCGTTGGTGATAGCACGCAGCCTTGTGGAACACCAGCGTTAATAGGCTTGTAGTCGGAGCATGCACCGTCTACAACGACCTTGATGCTCACAGAATACCAGTGTAAAATAACATGTTAATGCTGCTGTGTTTCGTATGGTGAGTGTAGAGAACTGGAGACCCTCTATACTGGAAAAGAGGCATTCCATCTTAGTCTTCAAGGCTGACAACGCATCTGCATTTTGGTTCTTTATTGAGGATAGATTTAGATGTTTATTGGCCACAGCAACGACATACCATCAGGTGGACTGTGTGCTCGTTTGTCACCCTATTTCAATAACAAAAAATACTAAGGAAACCTTTGTATGCTGTGGTCATAATTGCTTTTAGCAATTTCTACCTCACAATAAAAAAAAAGTCTGAATTTTTTATTTTTTCGAAAAATCTTTGCGTATATATTTGACTTACCGTAGTTTTTATTTGTTTAGAATTTTTGGATGAGCTCGACTGTTATGATCATAACAGCTATAATGTAATATTTTCAGGAGCAAGCAACACAATTCATAGATAGCTACCCACCTGGGGAGACACGAATTGGCACAATTGATGAACTGATGAAATACAGCCAATGGCAAGGAAGTCGCGAAACATTTGAAGTTATCTTGGGCTACCTGGTCTCACAGGGTGTTGCTGTGAAGAAGGGGGACGTGGTCAAACTGGGTAATTTTATTATGTTTATGTTTAATTCTTTATTTATCTGCCAAGCATGGTAATTATGGCAAATATCTCCCCTATGAACCATTGGACTTTTGATAGGCTGTATGAATGGTTGCAATCAGGATATAACATGTTATCATAATATTTAAGTTCAAGAACGCACTAGCGGCGGGCCGTGATGCGGCGTGCCGTAATGTGACGTGCCGTCGCGGCAGGCCGCAGTATATATAAAGTCTGCCGCAACGGTACGCCGCATTCCGGCTCACCGCATCGTATCGGTTCCATTGTGGTCCACCGCAATTGTCAGTGCTTCGAGAAATATTGGACATAATGGACATTGAAGAAGTTACAGCAGTTATTTATTTATATCGATTCTGTTATATTCGATTTGAATCGAATTGGAGATCGATTTTTCTTTAAGCGAATCCAACATGGCTTACGGCTAACCGCGCCGAGTGCGTGGAGGGGCTGCGGCGCGTCGCATCATTCAATCGGTGCAGTTGACGGCTGGTCGCAAGTCAGTGCGTCTATATCATGCGGTTTCATATAAAAATCGAAGTGCGGTCTGCTGCAAGGGCATGCCGCATCACGGCCAGCCCCTAGTGCTTCCCTGCGCTTAATATATTGGATTATTTCACAGCAAATTCATGCTTTTGCGATAGAATTACTACAAAGAACAATTTAAAATGTTATGCGACATTTAAATACTTGCTGAGCACAGACGAATAGGCACGAGTACGAACATGTAAACGCTCTTTCTTGTGCTACTTGAATGTTGTGTGTATTCATATCAATGTTTAAATACTCGTCATTATACAGTTGACCCGTGAACTATCATTATAATTTACTCGTCCAATCTACCGTTATAATTTTCTCTAATACCTTTATTTGACATAATGTATAAAAATAAATATGTATGTACTCAATTCAGCTGAAATTAAGAACGTCACAAGCAGTGGCGAAGCTAAGGCTCCAAACTAGGGCAAGCCCAAGATATGGTTCTGTTGTTTTTAGCAGTTTTATAAAAATACACTAATCTTGATCCGTCTCCACTTTTCAGTTTCATATTCAGTGCTGTCGAGGACATGTTTAACAAAGCACACAGAAGGCTTACTACTGCTAGATAGGTTGTATGACTATATGAATACCTTCGGTTGCTTTGAAAAAAGCCGTTTGGGTTTGCCTGAGCGAAAGATAAAGATATTTACATACAATACATGAACAAAAGAAAAGCATGAACAAAGTACAAACAATGTACAAAATTAAAAAAAATATATTTATATTCTAAATCGAATTGTCTCTGTTTCTTAAAGAAAGATTTCATTACGTCCGCGTGAAATGTTGGTGAACGTTTTAATTGTATCAATAACTGTTTATGTGGATATGAGCTGTTTTTTCTCAACAAAGTTTAAAGATTTTACCTTTTCCTCGCCGATTAGCACTTTAACACACTTCAATTCATCACCAGGAACACTATAATCATCCATTTTCACTAAAAATCTTTAAAAAAGCATAAATTTTCAACTCGCAATATTAATTCGCTCAAGTAAACACACAGAGTAAACATTTAAATGTGAAGTGAAGTTGCAAACGTATCGCCCGGGCGCCCCCGCGCTCGACTAACTTCACACCAAAAGTCGGGCTTTTGGCTCCATACTAATTGCTACTATATAAACAATCGTAGTTATATTTCATTATAAAACATTTTGCCACAGGTTAGAAAGGGAGCGATCGTATTCTCGAAAGCCCGGTAAAAAGCCCACGCGTGCGAGAGAGAGGCTAATTGCTCAACTGCGTGTTCGCTTTGAGACAGAGAGAACACGAATCAGTGTATTTCGAATTGAAAACAATCTGCCAAGTGTTGACGTTACATAATAAGGCTACGAGGTCATGGCCTGTGTAGAACAGAGGAGCGCTTTGAAATAGTTTACGAGTTATTTTATTAGTTGATATTATTGATTGAGCAGTTTGATAGGGCAAGCCCGCTTCTCGGCTTCTATAGAGGCTTCGCTACCGGTCACAAGAGCGAAAATACTTTTATATATTCTACTTAACTATTTCTAATAATGCCGTCTTTTCATCTTTTTCTACCGACTTCAAAAATGATGAGATACTCAATTCGACTGTTTTTTTGTGTGTTACCTCATAATTTTTTCTCGGTAAACCTAAATCGATGGTTCTTTTTTTATTTGAAAGCTGGTGCTTCTCATGTGGTCCCATATAAATTTGATCAAGGTCTGACGAGTAGTTTTTGAGTTATCCTTAATAATTTAAATTGAAGTCGGTTGTACAAATTTTTTATATTTACCACTTGTACATTTATATATTAGGAAGTCTATAAAAGTTAAATAGACACAATGTCGTAACAATGAGACGTAGGTCATCCACGTTTAAAATATCTACGTCGAATGAATATGTAAACGCGTTTAAAATACAGACGAATATGTAAACTCGTCGCACTCGTCTACCAATATTTCTGCGAGTTATTCGGCGAATTGTTCGTCCGATAATCTAAAAGTGTCATTAAAATAACATTATCCGTTAACACAATCTTATAAAAAGACTAGCTGTTACCCGCGACCTCACCCGTGTGTAATTTAGAGTTAATTTTCGAAATTTTAAAATTCGAAAATTAAAGTAACTTAAATTACTCCTTATAACATCAGCTATCTACCAGTGAAAGTCTCATCAAAATCGGTCCAGCGGTTTCGGAGATTACCCGTAACAAACAGACAAAAATTTAAAAAAATGTGTTTTTGTTATATGTACTATATATACTTTCATATGCATTTAGTAAAAAGCTGTTATTTTGACATTACAAACAGATACTTCAATTTTATTTATTTGTATAGATATTGTCGCAGTGGCTGAAAATGGAACTACATTTAAATGTTGAATAGGCTTCAGTCTTATCAAAAGGGTTGACTTTCAGTAATTGTCTCGACCGACACGTCACATGTCGTGTATTGGTGGAGTAAGACAATCCATCACTCTATTTCGTCCTGTGCGTGTGGTAAGTGGCAACTATGGGAAACAGAAACATTTTTATTCAATATAGATTATAAATAATACATATTGAAAGTCACTCTTTTGATTAATTTACCACTGGTTCGAAAAAAAACCTCTGTCCTGGGAAGAACCAGCAAGAAACTTAACGGTGGTAGAGCCACGCAGCAGTTTTTGCTGTTGCATGTATGGGCCGGCTCGAGCCGGTTTGGTACCACGACCTCACAGAATACCGGCGTGAAGTAGAGGCTCTGCTTCTGCGTTTCGTCTGGTGAGTGCAGGTGGCCGGAGGCCCAATCCCCCCCCCCCCCCCCATCAACATGGTAGCGGAATTATACGATAGACTACCACAGGAGGGTACCAGTACCCCTGGAGAATCCCTCGCTGAGCATCCACGACCATGTTATTCCAATCCTGAGCGTGGGTGCTCAGGCTGCCCCGCGTATTCTGGGAGGGGGGCAAAATTCCGCTCAAAAACATAACTGCTCAGGGCAAACTGAGCAACAATACCAAGGCGACCCCTGCTACGCTATCCGTGAATTTCTGCAACATCAGGGGACTTCACTTTAACCTAAACGCCGTCCACTACCATCTCGAGACGGCGAAGCCGGCCTTGCTCTTTCTGACCGAGACGCAGATTTCCTCTCCGGCTGATATTTCGTATCTCTCCTACCCGGGGTACAAATTGGAGCACTCCTTTGTGCCCCGGGCTGGAGTTTGCGTGTATGTCAGAGAGGACATCTGTTCTCGACGCCTCGGCAGTCTTGAAGGTTCGGACCTGTCCATCCTTTGGCTACGCGTAGACAGCGACGACCATCCGCGCGTCTACGGGTGCCTCTATAGGTCCCATAGCGGTAATGCCGAAACAGACCGACTCATCGACCACGTCCAAATGGCTACAGATTCCTTGCTACAACAGGTCCCATCCGCAGAGATCGTGATCCTTGGCGATTTTAACGCCCACCATGCCGAATGGCTCGGTTCACGTTTAACCGATCATGCGGGGAGATCTGTTTATGACTTTGCCTTGGCATATGGTCTGACACAACTGGTTACTTCGCCTACGCGGATTCCAGATGTAGAGGATCATACACCTTCCCTGTTGGACCTTCTGCTGACCTCTCATCCGGACGGATATCAGGTTTCCGTCGATGCCCCTCTCGGCTCTTCGGACCATTGTCTGATCCGGAGTGTGGTGCCACTCACGCCCCCTTCGCGATTGCGTTCTGCAGGTTGCCGCCGTGCTTGGCATTACAGGTCGGCGGATTGGGACGGAATGCGGTCTTTCTTTGCATCCTACCCATGGGGGCGGGTTTGCTTCTCGCCGGATGATCCCAGCGCTGTTGCTAACTCTGTCACTGATGTGGTGCTACAGAGAATGGAACTATTTATTCCATCATCTGTGGTACCCATCGGAGGCAGATCTCAGCCTTGGTTTGGTCGCTCCTGTAAGACTGCATTACGCAGTAAGCAGGAGTGTTATCAAGCCTGGGCTGCGGCTTCGGCGACTCGGGATGTAAACACCAGCACACTTAAAAAGAAGTATAACTTCGCCTCCAGGTCCTTCAAAAGAGTTATTGCCAAGGCAAAGTCAGAGCACATAGGCAGAATTGGCGAGAAACTAGTTCGCCTTCCTTCGGGAACCCGTGCATTCTGGTCTCTCGCCAAGGCTGTCCAAGGGAATTTCTGTAAGCCATCACTACCATCTCTGCACAGGGAGGACGACTCACTGGCCCAAGACGCAAAAGACAAAGCTGACCTTTTAGGCTCCCTTTTTGCGTCCAACTCGATTCTTGATGACGGGGGGAAAACACCGCCGACCATCCCGCGGTGTGAGTGCTCCATGCCGGATGTGCTGTTCTCACAGCGCTCGGTTCGCAAAGCATTTCTCTCACTGGACATCCAGAAGTCGAGTGGGCCTGACGGAATCCCCCCAATTGTGCTTAGGACGTGTGCTCCGGAGTTGGCACCGGTCCTAACGCGTCTTTTCCGGTACT